TACTTCCAAACAAATCAATACAATATATAAATATAATGATCTTCCTTTCTTCATTTTGTCCACATGTTTTTCCTCCTTAGAGTTTCGGATTGTAGAGATTTCAACTCCCACACACCTGAACCTATTTGGGCGCGTAAACTTTGAGCTCAATAAAGCAACAAAATTAAAAAGGATTATGGCTTAGAAATCCATGATGTGTACGTACATTATTTACTTAATTACATATACTAATTATGAGGAAAATCCCTTCAATTAATTTGTTGGTTAGGTGATTAATATTGTCATAGAAGTTGAAGTTTTGTTGTACATGTGATGTGATCCATCATTGGATCCTCCAAATTCTGAGTTAAGCAATTTGATGCCGGATCTTTATAGTAGTTGGTATTATTTTTTTAAAAAAATATAGAAAAATTTATTTAAATTATGTAAATGACAGATTGGTCTCACCAAGGCATAATTTCCTTGGAATCTTAAGTGATATTTCTATCATTAGGAAATATGCGAAATGAGACTTTTTCCTTTTATTCATATTAAAAAAATTCACAACTTTCTATTCACAACTTTTATTCATATATTAACAATTTTTTTTTAAATTTGCAATAATTTAATAGCTATTCGCAAGTCCTGATCATCAGGTCTTAATATGCATTAGGTATTGAAAATTCATAACTTTTCATTTATAACTTTTGTTCCCACATTAACAGCTTTTGTGTCTAAATTCACAACAATTCAATAGTTATTTGCAATTTAGAAATTTTTGTTTTATTTGAGGGTAGTTTGGTCATTTTTTAATTTCCTAATGAAAAAAAATCCTACGAGACTCCAGAAAAATTATGCCATTTGGTATAATCAATCTATCATTTATATAATTTAAATATATTTTTCTATCATTTTTTCTATTTTTTGTTGAAATAGTAGTTGGGATTATTATTAGTAATGTAATATATCTAACGGTTAGAGGGGTTGAGCTAAACCCATAATATCTAAGCACTACATCTATTCACTATTATAAGATATTCTTAACTAAATTACATCATTTTCTAATGAGTATGTAGTTAATTGTTTTTAAAATTACACATTTTTTTTTATGTTTACTCCTATTTGAATGGGTGTCTCAATTAAAACATTTTGATAATTACACTCTTAATCAATGGTGCTTTTAAAAAAATTTATTAATTACATCTTAAAAGACCCAAAATATCTTATATTTTTGAGTATTTTATCTTAGAAAAATGTCTTATATTTTTTTAACAAAGGAAGTAGTTAGTTTAATTTGACAGGAAAAGAATCATGACACCCAACAAAAAGACACGTTTAGCTGCATAAAATAAACATGGCTTTTAAAACAAGAAGGAAACTTGGAGCATATTTGGTTTCTGTTTTTAAAATATTTTTTATTTTTAAAAAATAAAATAATTTTTTTTATTTTTAAAAACTTGAAAATAAAAACTTTTAAATTTTTTTATTTTATTTTTAAAATACATTACGTTTGATTATTAAAAATTATAGTTCCCTTGACTAATGATTATCATAAGCCACTATCATTAACAGCAGGTAACCATTACTAACAATCAATTTTTCAGCTCTAAAATTCTTTTTATATTAACATAACTAAAAAAATAATTTTTTATTTTGTTTCAAAAAATAATTTAAAAATTGTATTGCAAAATAATTTTAAAAACAAAAACCAAACACACTTTTGTTCTCAGGTATCACAGGACAGAGATATACTATCAATTATTTTTTTCAAAAACTTATCTCTCCTTAAAAATGTAAATATTTTTAATCAAATCTCACTTTTCAATAAAATAGTTATTTGTCTTTAAACTAATATCATATTTTCATATTTATCCTATTTAACAGGATATTTCACTCTAATATAAACATAAAATAATTTTTATTAGGGGCACTTTAAAAATAAAGGTAATGATTATATTTTAAAATAATAAAAATGCTTTAGATTTCTTAACATCTAACCTCTTAAAAAATGCCTTACATTTTTTAGCAGAAGGATTAATTGTTAAGAAAATTTTATTTTGATAATTAATTTTAGTTAAGAGCAAGACTGGAAAGTCATTTTTTCTTATAGAAGTAGAATATTATTAATTATCATTTCTTAAAAACCATCAAGGTGGTTAACTTCACCCTATAACTAGGATTAGAGGAGTATTTGTTTCATAAATTTACAATTTCCTCAACTGAACAGCAATTATTGTGGGATGTTAATAGTAAATGTTAATTTCATTTCTTTGATCGATAATCAAATTAACTTAAAATGTAATGTAAAAAGGTGCAACAAGGAATGAGGAATCTAAGTGTGCTTTGGAAATAGAAGTGATGATGAAAACGGAGCCCTTGAATGAGGGGGAAAAGAAAAGGGGGGAAAAAAGAAAGAAAAAGAGGGGAATGAATATAGTTGATGCAGACCTTGGGATAAAGTCAAACTTTTAGAACCTTTTAGAATAGAAGCGCTTCAATTGCTTGCAAGTGAAACAAAGCATCCTGTAGTAAATTAGTCATGATCAAGATGTACCAACCAACTGGCTGGATAGCTAGAGATCACTCGGAGATAAAATTAAAAGGGACACTCATCAATGTAAATATTATAGCTAGCTAGCGTGTTGCGTAAAAAGGGTCCCCCAGCAACCAAATCACGTGCTTAGATGCATCAAAGTTTGTATATATACAGACCTCTTTAATATATATTAATTATTAAACAACCACAGCAATCATAATGGTAAGAGATTCAGATTTAAAAGTTTTAATTTAGATTATAAAAGGAACATATGATGAAACTATATATTAGACAATAGTAAAAAAATTTAAAAAAAATCAGATCTTAAAGTTATGATCAATTTATTATTAACAATAAATTTTCATGACGAAAGATAATATATATTTCCGAAACATGGCACACGCAGAAAAGTACAACCAAAGCGAGAGGGTACAACCAAACTGATTTGATGATTATATTCTGAATCCCATTTGCTTGATCTCCATAACCAACACTCCAACCTCTCTTCTTCTCATCTCTTTCTTCTCTCTTCACCATCCTCTCCTGAATCAGAGCCCCATGTACCCAAATATTGAGCGCATTTTCTTCTCAAAAGAGAATTCTGATGAAGATGTCGGCATAAAACCCGCTCTCCAGTTTCAAAATCATCACTTCATTGAAAGCGTCCCAAAATGTTCCCAGTCTAGGGCGATTTCTGACTCTCTGGGATTACAGCCGTCAACGAGACTGGATAATCCAATTTCCAATCTCAATCAGAGCCAGTTTGACAGAAGAAACAGCTCCCAGCCTCATTCTACAGCCCAAAAAGAAAAGAAGAAAGAAGAGAAGGAGAAGGGGAGGGAGGAGGATTCTTGTTATTATCAAAAGAGAATAGCAAGCTAAAGGCAGAAGAGGAGGAGGAGGAGGAGGAGGAAGAGGAGGGGGAGGAGGAAGGGTTCAGAACTCCAACTACTTTGGATCAAAGAATCCCAGAGGCCAAACAGTGCCCGCCAGCACCCAGAAAACCCAAGCCATCTCTGAAAAGAAAAGCACCCCACACTCTCGCTACTGCCCCAATTTATCTTTCATCCAAAGAGGTTCAGCTATTGTTCCCAGTTCAACACAACCCACTTTCCGATTCCCTCAGAATCACCAAGAAGATTCGAAGAGATGACCCCAACTGATCTGATTTGGTTCTCAAAAACTACATGCTCCATGGTTTCCATGTGTACTAATAAGGTGCAAGTGCAAAATTTTGCTTTTTAGCTCCCCCCACCACCCCATTTTTTTTTTTTACCTGCCATTATTGGTGGTTTGAAGGTTGGACTTCTCTATATAACTCTCCTGGACTTCTGGTGTTTAAATTATGACGCTTGGTGATTTGGGATGTGCATGACAAAGAGAGTTGCGTAGAACGTACTAACTATCATGGGGGTGGTCAGGAGTTGAATCCCCAGACCGGTGAACAATTTAGAAGATCTTCGCTCACTTGATGTATATTTTATGATAATTATGAGTTATTAGCTGTAACTTTCTCCTTAATGATAAACCACTTGATCTCCGGAGAGTTTTCACTTCTCCTTCATTGTTTTTATCGTGTTCGGTTACTAATTGGTATTGGTAGGAATGATGTAAACTTGTGAAGTCGAAGAATTGCAAAAGATCAGATTGGGGAGGGGGGTGGATATAGAGAGAGGGGGATATCTGTGTGATTTGTAATAATTCCAAGCTTTCATGATTATTAGCTTCTTTTTTTTTTGAGTAAATGATTAATTATTAGCTACTTTTGTGCTTTCTCTCCATTTCTTTTTATCATTCGTTTCTACCATCCATACTATTATCAATGCAGAAAAATATAAAAAAATAAAAATATATAAAATTTTAAATATGTTCTTATATAAAAAAATTTTTAAAAGTGATATCATATTACTTTTTTTTTTATAAAGAGTAATTTTAAAAATATTTTTTAAATATTATTTAAAAAATAGCATTATAACTTATAAATAAGATTAAATAAACTTTTAGAACGTGTCGGATAAATGAAACTAGAGGGAGTACTTACTAATTGCTATGTACGCATTTCATCAGCTATAGTACTATAAAGGAAGAGAAGTTTATTCTGATGCATATTTCATTTATTGCATAATCAGCAAAATCTATGTTATGATTTACTCTATATGATATTCATCTCTTCGAGCCTTTAAGATTCTTGGCTCTTGCTTTCTTTATGAAAACTGACAGATTCTTTCTTCGATTCTACGTTGTACATAAGGTAGTCTTCAGACTCTAGGGAAGAAATAAAACAAAAGGGGGGAAAAAGTACAAGGAGGTTGCGGAATTGATGCGTCAATGTGCATAACCTTTATTACTGCATAAAAAGTGAATTAATTAACTTGATAATCGCAATCATAAGTTTCATAATAATATAATCCGTATCTACACACACACACACACACACACTAATATACAAGTTACGGCGAAAAATCTTACGAGTCGTCCTTATTGACAAAGTTTTTCCTCCTTGCCTATGCTATCAAGTCAACCATTTGAGGATCCTTTACTGGACACATATACATATATGTAAACACATATATCAGAATAATTGCATATCCAAAGTACATATATAGATCAGTGCAACGAGAAAACTCAGATTAACTTGACATCATGATGCGCATGATTCTGACATTTCATGGCACTGGGGCTGGACTTCCATCCGCATCTGTGTGTCTGGAAATGATGACGAATTCCATTCTAAGACAGGATATCGATCGAGTGAAAATTACGATAAAGAAATAAGTGAATCTCATTTAGAAGGCCCCAGATCTTTCATACATGTATTTTCTTTCCGTATAAATTACCTGTAAATTGAAGAATCCAATTTGAAGTGATTAAGATCAAGAAGAGAGAATTCAAAAGAAGCCGCTGCTGATCCTTTTAGGCAACCCAAAATTCTGATAGCACCTAATTTCACCCCCTATGCTGGCCGTCGCAATCACCAGGCCCCACGCTACAGGATAGCCTGATGACGTGGCTGCTTGGCTATTATCAGTTAGAAGGCGAAACGAAGACCTCGAAGAGGTCGGAGCATTGGTAGCAGATATAGCAGACGGATCATCTTGCCTCGTCGAGCTGGCTGAATCCGAAGCCAACGACTCTGTTAGCGATATGGCCATGGGATCCACTTCTTGGCGATCATCGGGACCACTTTCAGCGGCGGTGCAACTAGCACTATCACTGTTATCAGTACTTTCGGAGCTATTTTCATCGTCGGTGGTATTTTTCTTGGGAGGGAGAGGCGGCAACGTCGTGGTGCCGTTGTTGGGCGGTGAATCGGCGGCGGCGTCGGTGTTAGGTTGATCTGTGGCGGAAGGATCTGATTCCTTCTTGTTGGGAAGAGGGGGAAGATTACCTCTCTTGCTGTTATCATCTGAAGGGCGTTTGGAAGTCTTCTTGTTAGCTTGAGGGGGATCGCCCTTGATGGTGAAAGGCCATGGCACTGCCACAGAAACATCCTTGCAGGGGAAGCTCTCAAAAGCCCTAGTCATAACTAATGCTCTTGCTTTTGCGTTATTGCCTCCTTGTCGAGGCTCTTCGTACTTCCACATGTATACCTGAGAATCTTCGCTCGCACTTATCACGTGTCTTCCACTCGGACTGAATGAAGCCGCGATTTGACTGTTTGAATTTCGGAAACCTGCTAACGTGCCCGGTCAAGACCATACACATATTGTATCCAAAGAGAGATTCATAAATTTTGACCAAAAAAACCAGAGAGATTCATAATTTTCATTTTCTAACCCATGTGATTAGTACTTTGTTTTCTGAACTAGATGAAATATAACTGTAAAAACATCTCTTATTAAGGAAAGGTATTTCTTGTTCAAAGATATATACATGCTCTATCTATTTCATTCGAGAATCTTAAATATATTATTTGACCCATTTTTAACTCTTTAAAACTATGTCTTTCATCGCTCAAATATATGACAAAACATGGCGAATATATGTTCTCTAAAGTTGGAGTGCCGAAAAAAGAAGCCTTGAAGAAATGAATTTATAAATTGTACATTTCTAAAATTTAGGAGCGTATAAGGGCGTGACTAAATGACTAAACTACCGATATGTGATTATGAAACATGAAATTAAAGAATACATATATATATATATATATATGAATATATTTTAAGTCAGGTTAGTTAAACAGAATAATTAGTAACCGATCATGATCATGGCTTGTGATAGCACCTTGGAACTTATGAACAACTTTTGTGCCTTCTACAATTTTAATCCTGGCATCAGCTGAAGTGACAAGCACTTCTGACGGATTACTCGGTGCGAACTGCAAAACATATACAAAGCCGCCAACTCATTTACATTCTCCTTTTTATAGTATGAAACAGGCTTCACAGCTATCAGCTATTGCTCATTAAAAATCAACAATGCTATAATTACCTGAAAACCAGTGATTTTTCTCAGCGGAGCTTTCTTTCTCTGCTGTAAATCAATTGTGCTTGTTTGACTTAGTTTGCAGTCTGCAACAGGAATTCATGATATGTCAAAGTTTTGCAAGAAGGATTTATGATGATTGCCAAGCCGAGGGTATATAAAGAGCAAGGGGTTGTACCTTGTGTGCCATACATACAACAAGTCCCATTATGTGTACCAACAAGAGCAGCCTGTAGCATTGATAGTTTATGCAATCATTATGTTAACCATTATTTTCATGGATCAAGGTTAGCATGTGTTGGAGTATTAAATAGGAGGAATGACTACAAAGTCTTAAAACTCAAAATTTATGACAATTAAGTCATCAATAAAAATTTTTAAAAAATAAGTTATAAATATTAATTGAAACAACTAAAAATTCTGAACTTATAACTATATGAATCAATATTTATAATTAATTTTTTTAAAAAAATTATTGAAAATTTAACTGTAAAAAATTATGAGATGTGGGATTTTTTTAATGTAACTTTTCTTATGAAAAAGGGCCCACCTGACCGTCAGGAGTGTAAGAAACGGCGGTGACCATTTCATGAACGTCGGCCCAATCCACGACTTGCCGTTGAGGAATGCTCCATATTCTAATCTTAGCATCCAGGGACCCACTTATGAAATAATCCTCGTCTATTGGATTGAACTGTACGCACGTTACTGTGCCCCGCCCAACAACAATTACATGTATGGAGACACTTGAGGCAATTATTTCATTTCGTTTAAATTCAAACGCTCACCAAATATTTAAAACAACACTTTTTCCCCCGTAAAAGAACCAAAACGTATGGCAACCTTACCATAGTCATTATGGGTGAACACCTTCAAGCAGGACTTCAATTCCAGGTCCCATAGTCTCACTGTTTTATCCATTGAAGACGAGAGAAGCAACTGCAGTGATTCCAACTTCAGTAAATTATTCCCGTACTTAAAAAGACATAAAGAAAATTATAGTATAGTTTCTCATACTTAGCTTGCTTAGACGTTTATTGAGTGATAAAAAAAACATCAACATGCATAAAATCTCCTGTTCTCCAGGGATTTCAACTAATGTAAGTAAATCTTGGCCCTTCCTTAAAACATGCAAGAATTTGCACAACAATGAAACATAAAAAATAACGTGTTTGGGGAAAAAAAAACATTAAAAAAAAATAGTGCCCTGACCTGACTTTTGGACCAAGAAAAATCCAAAACGTCTTCAGAATGGCCTAGGAAAGTGCAGAAGGGTTTATCAGAAAGGGAGAACACGGTCTCCGGCACATGAACGTGCTCCGGAACCTTATCATCTTTTTTAGTCCCGGGTTTGCCTTTTTTCTTGGCTGCCACCTCCTCCTCCATCGCCCCCTCTTGGGCGGCCGACGAAGCAAGCAGCGAGGGATGAAGTGGAGTGAGATTCCCTTCCTCCGCGGTCAAGGACATGAGCTCACACTCCTGCACTTCCCACACGTGAATCACCTTATCCTCGCCGCCACTTGCCAAATAACGGCCGTCCCAGCTAAACTTGATGATCCAAATACCCCCCTCATGAGCCTGAAATTCTTGGCACATGTGCAACGCTGAAAGCTCTTTATGAGTTTTCCCGCTCTGCCTCACCCTAACCCATTCGTTGTTCTTATTCTGCTTCTGATTTGGATCTGAGCTAGCTGCTGGTTGTGGTGCAGAAGGAGGTAGGGGAGGCAAATTAGGAGGCGTTACTTCATTAATGCTCTCCGATCTCTCTCTTTCGCCGATGAATCCGCTTGCCACGCCCTTTATGTTCTTCAACAGAGCAACCCCAGTTTTCTTGCTCATTCTCAAGCTCTTGTTCAGGTAGTAGTTTGCGCTCGGCTTACTCTCGTCATTTTTTTCTCTCCCGCGTCGCATGAGCTCTTTAACGATCGGTGAGTGCCCTACAGATTTCTCGAACTCCTCCATCGTTAGTTTTTTTCCTGTTTGTATGTCATTCAGACTGCTCCATGTGCCGTCGTTGCCAGGGTCCTTTCCGGTGACAATGAACTCTTTTCCGGTGTCGAGGTTCTTGATAAGGAAGAAGGAAGCGAATCTAGTATTTGACACGACCGTGGTTAGTTTGCGGTCATGTTGGCGC